TGGGGAGGGGTCTGCCACTGCTCTCTGCAGAAGGAAGGGGTGACAAAGATGGCGGGCTGGGACTCAGCAGGGGCCCAGCTGTGGCCCTGTGGCAGTCCTGCCAAGCAGGGTCAGCTTAGACACTTCCAGTGGCACCTGGCCAAGTCGGAGGAGGAGACTCAGTGCAGTCAGGCCAGGCTCTCTGGTGGCCGGCCCAATGGACTGTTCTTATTTCTGAACAAGACCACACACTCCCCACCTGCTTTTTTCTCTAGTTCGTCAACCAGCGGAGGAAGCCAAGGGTAACAGTGACAGTGCAGGTGGCCAGGGTGGCAGTGGAGAACCAGGGCTGGCCTCCTGAATGCAGGGAGCGTCTGTGGGGGAGGCGGCACCGGATGGTTAATCACTGTTGTGCCGTGAGCATTGATCTCTGAGCGGTCCTGCTGGGTCAGCGTCTGGGACACTCCCTGAGTGCCCAGAGGCTCTCTGGATGGGTTGCATTCCACTGCCTGCGTCTTGTCTTGGAGCTTGTTTGCAGGACGAAGGGGCTTCCCGGTTCTTGGGGGAGCCTCTTGATGTAATGGTTTGTCAGTCAGACACAGATGAGAGGCGTCTCTGGGGAGCAGCTGACTACCAGCCCCAAGCCCAAGACCACACCCCATCCAGGCAGGGTGTCCAGGGTCCCCTGACTACTACCCTCCTGGGCAATAGGACAAACCTGCAGGTTTGTGAGCATTGGGGACTGAGAGCATAGTCCCTCCAGTCCCAGGACAGGTAGCGCCCCTGATGCCACCTGGCTCCCAGTGCAGGATGCAAGGCAGAGAAGGCGAAAGAGTATTTGGGCTCTAGAATGGTGCCCCTCAAGTGCCCCACACCCTATTTGGCCCTGTTTGGAAACAGGGGTCTTAGAGGATGTCATCAGCCAGGTGCCAAGAGGTAACCCTCCTTTCATAGGTAGTGGCCTGTCTTTGAGGTGGTGATTTGGGCCTGGGGCTCGACTAGGCAGAGCGGAGCTGCTCCATGGGGTGTGGAGGCTGTGATCTGTAGGAGAAGTCTCCAGGTTTCAAATCTCCAATCATTTGGGTTGTGGCCTGTGTTAGTCTGGGTAGACTAGAGAAACAAAATTCATAGACACTCATGCGTGTAAGAAAGGACTTTATACACAAGAGCAATTGAGTATTCAGAAAACATTCCAGCCCAGTCCAGATCAAGTCCATAAGTCGGATATTAGCCCATATGTCGATTCTGGTCCATAAATTCTTCTTCAGACTCACAGTCATGCAATGATGCCAAGTGCAGGAAGATCACAGGCCAGTGGTGGGAAGTCTTGTGGCTCCAGTGGCATTGTAGGCATCTCAGTGCTGGCATGGGTCTCCATGTGGTTTCTCCAGCTCCAGGGCTCTGGTTGCATCAGGGTAGCTCCATGTGTCTTCTCAGCAAATGCGTCTCACAGGGACTGAGCAAGAGTCCCACATCCAGTGAGCTATTTATCTCCTTGGTGTCTCCAAATGAGGTCATCAAGGTGTGACCTGATTGACAGGCTAAACTCCACCCCTTCACTCTTCAGTCTCAAACTGATAACAGATGATGTGACTACCTCATGCCCTTACTGTTGGCACCACCCACAGAGCTCACTGCAAAGTGTAAATTCTGATTCCTGGTGACCCCATAGGACAGGGTCGAACTGGCCCTCTGGGCTTCCAGAGCTGTAACTCTACAGGAAGAGAAAGCCTCCCTTTTCTCCCATGGAGCCACTGGTGGGTTCAAACTGCTGACCTTACAGTTAGTAACCCACCTCTGAGCACACAGCCACCAGGGGGGCTCACGACCTGTGTCCTTATGCAAAGGCCGAGGCCCAGCCCCTGGGTCAGTCGATCGCCTGAGGGGTCTCC